AATCTAATTATGCAATTCAGGTTTATAATTAATGTGGTGTCACAAGCTATCTAGTGCTTGAATAGCGAAATATTGTAAAAATTTGGCAAAGAGGTCAAGCAATCTAACAAGGAAAAGAGTCGTGGTCGATAAGAGTATCATCGATAACCGTTCGAATGTGCTAAATTCAAAAATAACTCGTGAAATATGAAAAAACGCTATTACGTAAAAGAGCACGTGGCGGTATTTTGAAGTAGCGGAAGCCAATAACGGTAAATAATATTTCACCTATATGATACAGTATTACGTAAATATTTGTAAGAATAATTAAAATAATTCACCCACGTTGATTCATTACGCAATCACCAACGTACGCTACAAACATGTGAAGCTGCAACTCAAACGTGACCCAAGCGAAAATGTCGACAAGTTTCAGCCACGTGCTCGTATGTAAAACGCGCCCGATTTGAATTTCCCGCCAACCACGACCTGACGCAACCAAGCCTCTAAGGGTGCAAGTAACTGTTGCCACTTTACATAATATCTCGTTTTCAAGGCAACCGAATTGCATCATGATACATGAACTATGTTCTTTGATTAAAAGCATCTGAGTTGCGTAAAAACGGTCAGACTCAAACAAATAAAAAATTAACCTAATTAAAAAACAACAAAAAGTTTGGGAAGCGCTGGTTTAGGGTATTGTCATTAAGGAACTAGATTTATCCTGTCCTTTTCTCAACCGCAATGAGGTTAGATTTGTCATTATCTTGGCTTTTGTTTTGACCCTTAAAAATTTCGTTGGATTTTGCAATTTAACATGTTAGTTGTTGCAACATTAAGAGACTTATATTCTAATATACAATGGCATCGATATAGAACAAGTTATTCAATACTTATGAAATGTATTAACGACCTTCGCGGTTTTTAAACTTCCAGGGCATTGCGCTAGCCAATAAAATTAATTACATATTACATTTACTTCATTCATTTTGTAGGGATTTACATTTCACACGTGAAATTGAGTAATGTTTTCAGCAACCCTGTATATAAATAAAATAGCGGAAATGTGAACTCCTCCAAAAATGTAGCCTTCAAACAAATTATTCAATAAGCTCACTGTCCTTAAGATGTAGTTTTTCTAAAAATCCTAATTACCATATTGCTACTTTTCTGAATAATTAACTAAAAATGACAGTTGACGTAACAGTTACCGTTACCGATCATACAATCAAAAATGAGTTTCCAGCGACGAAATTGTAGTAAAAATGCAAAACAGTGTAGTTTATATTTGCTCAGGATTTTACTTGCAAATAACTTGAGGTTACCGACATCGAGCAGACAACGACGTACAAATTAAAGGACAATAACACTAATAACAGAATTTAACCTAAGAAAATATTCCACTGTGATTTTTTGCGCGATTACGTCGCAACTTAATGAGTTATTTTTGTTATTAATCCGCAACGTAAATATGTTTGCGAAAATTTTGAAACGTCTTACGTAATTCTCCCAATCAAGCGCCACCCTGTATATTTAGCCGTTTCTTTGTTCGATTAATGACTAATGGGTAATTTTTCCTTAATCATTCAAATCCGCCAGATTTAGTTAAATGTGATCGACCTGTTATCTTTTTATACCGCTTTGTTCGTTTCATTCCTGGTAAAACTCAAATTATAAAAATAGAAATGTAATAATTATATTATCTTGTTTTTGTTTTGCGTACACACCTGCTCTGTTATTTTCAATAACAGAATTGTTGTCAAAAAGCGCGAATGAGTGCAATGATGGTAATATGTTGTTATTTAATTTGCTCACGAGGTGGGCGCTATGGTTTTCGCCCCGTGTCACCGCTACCCTCCACGTGACCGAGACCACGTGTCGGTTACGCAATTTCGGCTAACCTTGTCTGGGCTTAAACAAAGAAAACCGCACCAAGGGAAGAATCCATAACTGACAAACAAATAAGTCGCGACCCTGGCCAATGGCAAACGGTTGATGACTCGTTCGCAAAATTAACCATGGGATGGGACAAAAACTATTTCGGTGGGCGATTTGATCAAATCATTTTTCATTTTCACGGTTTGTTTTGCTCCCGATAAAGTGTTTGGTTTGTTATTTTATCAGTAATTAAAGGTCGTTACTCTCGTCGTTCGATCATTTTTTTGATGATGATGTAACATTGTAATATTCGTTTCACAATAATGGATTATACAATTAACACAAGTTTGCATATAAGCAGAGCGCGGTTTTTGCATAAAATGGTTTGCACAATATAAGTGATGATTTGGGCAAAAATAAAACAAAACAACAGTTAGAGAAGAACTGGTTCTTTGTCAATGGTAAACAGATTGTTGAAATTTTTCAGGACGGAGGAATAAACAAAATATTTTTGAGGTTGAGTGACATTGTGATTATGAAAATGACGATTTGAAGGTAAAGTTTTAGAAAAAAGGCAAGTGGGATGAGTTGGCTAGTTCGTTGACCATTTCGTGGTACTTGTGCGACTAAAAATTGAGCAAGCGATCTTGCTTTATTATTTGTATTGATTATGTCTGGCTAAACGCAACGTTTTTGGAAATTGCAAGAAATCAGAGTTTTGTGAAACGTTATGAAATTATGCCAAAATGTAAACTATGACATTTCCGGGAAATACCGTCAGAACGTGCCAAAAAAATAAATATCCACAAAAACGCAATATTACGTGTAAATTTATTTTCTCTCTTCAACCAACATTCAGATTTATCCCCATCTCAATTCCTCCTAAAAATAAATTTATCTCAATTATGTAACAACTGCGACATTTTATTCCACGTCGAAATTTACACTGATGACTCTTAATTATTACACGAATTACCAAACACATTTGTTTTCATGACTAACACCTCAAATTATTATTCACGGGAAAAACGTTTTCTTTGTTATTACCAAATTTCCGAAAAGTGCGCTTTACTTCAGTCGAGATCATTATCCTTGTTTCATAGAATTTAACTCAATTATTTAATCTCATTTATTTATTAAAGACGTAAATGTCTCTTAAAATGGTAAATATGTTTACAAATTTTCATTGCACAAACAATTATTACATGTTGTCTTATGTTACTCAATAAAAATCCACTATTCATGTTTTAATTTACGTATTAATTATTTAACTAAAAACATTTTTACATTTTGTTTACCTTTCAAACGCACCATTAAAATTTACAACACACGCGCCACCTATCAGACAGTAGCCAAACACGGGCCCAGCCATAATGGTTCGCAACCAAACTAAATTAGTATAAAATAAACCTCAGAGAAACCAAGAAGGATATCGATAGGCGGAGCCAATGCGTGGGGAAACTTGAGCAGTGGCGTAACACATTCTTTGATAAAAAAAGAATTGTAGAGTTGCATTTTTTTTCGTATATTCATTGATGAGATATTAAATATAAAAAAATTATGCGATGCTCCACGATTATTTCAAATATACGGTGATAATAATTTTTGTATAAATAAGAGACAAACAAAAAGTAACGAAAATTCGTTTATTAAAAATATCAACATACAATGGCGGACACGAAATTTTGGACATCAAACTTATGTCAGTTCAAAAAATGTCAATGTAAGCCACGCTTTATTGTCATTATGATTGACGTTTAAAACTAAAATTTGAAAGTTTTTTTGTATTATATAAGTATTTTTGATGTCGATTTTCTGAAACAATAATGTCAGCAATACGTGTTTTTATATAAGTTCAAATTTGTTTTGATTTGTTGTCATTTTGTGCCTAGCTATACTTCAAACAAGCTCTTATAATGATTACTGAGTATTGCAATTTATAAAAGAACAAATGCTTTAAAAATGTTATTTATTAATAAAGAAACAAAATCAAAATATTTTCATTACTGTACAGTGATGAACCAAAATTTGCTTTAATGTCATGATAACTGACATTCAAATACGTATTGTCAAATTTAATCAAATTCGAACATGCTAGCAGTAAGTGCGTTTAATAAAATAAATAATAAAAATTATCTCCCTGGTACAAGAAGGTATGTCCTAAAGACGAGTCTCTATACTTTTAGGCATACCAAGGACTACCATTTCAAACGACAAAGGTAAAAAGTAGCAAGGAGTATCAATTATAACAATTCAAAATTCTGAAACAAGGTTAGAAAAACCTAAAAAATAATTTACACTTTTAATCTGTCAGGAGAATTGGGTAGACGAAATTCACTGTCCATCACTGTACATGATTATTTGTTTTGTTCAAATAAATAAGTGCGAATACAATACACGCCACAGCTGATTTCAGAACTCCCCTATATTTACGAATGGATTCGTCCGCGACCAGTTTTCGTCTCTGCGCATCCCTTCCATCAATATCCTTCTTGGTTTCTCTGGCCTCTAACAACGTGATTCAAATTTAAATTCCAAGTATTACATTTATACAGAGTGCGCCAGAACTCGCGCCTCAGAGAAAAATGCCATATAAGGTATGATACAAAGAACATGGAAAAAATGTTAAAAAAATTTTATCTATTAAAATTTCAAAGTTATGAGGGTTTAAAGTTTGCACTTTGACTCTATTTATTTCTGTTGTAAAAATCATTTTACAAGTTTTTTTCCTATAGGCTATTAAAAGAGGAAACAAGAAAGCTGTATGCTAAATTGTAACTATTTTCAAGGTTATTTGTACCTTTACTAAATAATTGTAAAAAAACATATACAAGATCATCAGTATCAATAAATAAACATAAAAAAATGTCAAATGTCAAAAAATAAATGTCAACATTTTTTGACAGAATTTTTTAAACATTTTATTCATGTTCCTGGTATCTTATCTTACTTAAAATTTTTCTCTGGGGCGCGAGTTCTGGCGCACCCAGTATGTTCTATATTTTAAACACATTACAGGAAACTTTCAAGCAAATCGCATTTATTTTTAACGTTAACGGGAACGTTAAAATTATTTTTGTTAATTTCTTGTTCCTGAGCGGACAAATTAATAAAAAAGCCGGATAATAACAATTAGTATTATTACCAAAAACAAACGAGTGAAGTAAACACGCACTTTATGTGTGGGGTGATTTTTTTCGTAAATTTTAAAGTGTGGTCACTTGCCGAAAATAGCCCCCAAGAGATCGATATTTTTCCGGGGAGTGACCAACGCCGGCGTATAGAAAACTTGTTGCTTGTTAAACACTGGGGTGTTTATGTCCAGTAGTTTCCCCCCGTTGGTGGCGTAAATGCGATTCAAAACCCTGGCTTCCATTTTCCCCCGAACTTCGAATTCTTCCACCACTCCCATGGTTAAAGAAAGCGAGACAATGGAGTTGGAAGACCGCGACCCGAATAACCTAAGCCGCCACTTGCAGGTAACCCAAAGTTAAACTTTTCTCCAACTCCAATCAAAAACCCATAGGTGTCATGGGAGGACGTCTTCGGCGAACCCGAAGCCATCCGGAGCCCCGAATGCGCGTGGGCTGTCAGCAACCAGTGTTTCCGGTTATCTAAAAATTTTTGCTACGTTTGTCTTTCAGTTATTTGTGCCCCAATCGCGGCCTTCTGTCTCGGGATCACTTTCGCTTGTTTGTCATTTGAGGTTGGTAGCACTGTCACAGTTTACCCCAGCGCAACTGGCTGTTTTAGCATATTTGGTGTCTGACACCGTGTTTGCGAATTTGGAAGATTTCTTGCGCCGCAACGAGGAATTTTGTGACGGCTTTTGCCCACGCTGTTATCATTCCTTGTACCAGCGCTTGCGGATATTACTGGTCCGAGATTAAAGTCAAAACGGAAGCTATTTCCGCCGAGGCTGAGGGAAAAAAAGACGTTCTAGTGGTTTAATTAAGGTTTTTATGCCCACTTCCATATTTGTACAATTGTTTGAAATATATTAATTTGACAGTTTTCATGCCTGATTTATGCCACAGGGCATTAACTCTTGCGGTCACCTTTGCAAATCACGCAATATTTTGATCAATACTCTAACCTGAATTGTTAAATTAGCATTCGGTCAACGTTCGATTAGTGACAATTCGTATTTTTTACAACTATTAAGTATATACTATTAAACTATTATGGCTATTTTTTGACAAAATTTTAAAAAATAATTGTGTTTCCAGCTAAAAAAGCATTTGAAAAAAACAAAAATAAGTTATATTATCATTTTCGACTCTGTTTAATAATATTTTGTAAAAAACAACTAGAACTATGTGATGTAATTTGATAGTTTTCTATTATTTTTTCTTCAAGAAAATTTCACGAAATAATTAAGTTATACAGGGTGCGTCAGAACTCGCGCCCCAAGAAAAATGCCATATAAGGTAAGGTGCCAGGAACATGGAAAAAATGTTAAAAAAAATTTACCTATAAAAATTTCGAAGTTATGAGGGTTTAAAGTTTGCACTTTGACTTTATTTATTTCTCTTGGAAAAATAATTATCCAATTTTTTTTGCTATAGGTTATTAAAAAGGGAAACAAGGAAGCAGTATCCTAAATTGTAACTCTGTTCAATGTTATTTGTGGCTTACATACAAGATCATCCGTATCATTAAATAGATATAAAAAATGTCAAATGTCAAAAAATATTTGTCAAAATTTTTTGACAAATAGAATTTTTTAAACATTTTTTTCATGCTCCTGGTATCTTACCTTACTTGAAAATTTTCTCTGGGGCGCAAGTTCTGGCGCACCTGTATATATTTTTTTATAACAATTTAGTGATTTTTGAAACCCTGTAGCAAATTCTCGCGAAAAAACAAAGTTTTCAGCTTAACAATCTGCTTCAACTTTTGAAAAAGCAAACAATTATGTTATTTTCGGCCTAATTCTGTGTTTTTGAAAAAATTTTGAAACTCATTGCGTTTCTAGCTGAAAAACGCGCTAAAACTCTCAAGAAATGCAAAATTAATGTAATTTTCGACTTAATTTGTTGATTTTTCCGTTTGTTTTAGCGAAATCTCACAAAAAGCTAAGATTATAGTACAAAAATGTGCTTAAAAACATTCTCGGCTTGTTTTTGTCTTATTTTGTTCAAAAATCAGTTAAATCGAGTGAAACAAACAAAATAACATCAGTATTTTGCAAAATAAATAAGCCTCTATGGTTCAAAAACAAAATAAGTCGAGCGAAACAAGCTAAAAACAACATCAATTTTGAAATTTTTCCGCCTGCTTCAATGAAATTTTTTGAATTTTCTTTGTTTTTATCTCAAAAAACTTGAAAAGGGTAAAAATAACGCCGTTTTTGGTCAAATTTGTTGAATTTTTGGATTGTTTTTAACGCAATATGGTGAAATAATTGTGTTTCTACTGAAAAAGTATTCGAAAAAGTCAAAAATAAATTGTCATTTTTAATCCTGTGCATCAAGTAGGTTGTAGAAGTCTAAATGCATCTTTAATTTAAAGGCCGATTCACACAACAGGTGTCTTAATCACATCAATAATGACAAAAATCTTCATGTTTGCTACCCTATGCTAATTGCGTTGTTAATTTTAATTATTTTTTTGCTACTTGGAGTATCCACTTATTTGAAGAAAATTTTTTTTTGAAGATTGAGGTTAGGTTGCCACCTTAAAATGATCCCTTTCGATGAACATTAAAATGAAAACGAGTACAATTATTTATCACATTAGCATGAAATGACCTCGACAGGTTTAAAAATAGTAACTTTGTAAATTAAGTGTTGGCCGACTGTAAAACCACTGTGAGAATTTTACCATTTGGTGAGTATAATTACCGCATTTCGCATGTTAATCGCACGCCATGGTTTTATTTTAAGTAACTTTTTCGGCTTGCAAACTTAGGTTAACACTAACAATCGATTTTGTAAAGGTCAAGTCAGTGATAAGATACGATAACAAGAGATGGCTTAATTCTTGTCAGTTGTGTACGATTTGTTACAGAAAGATGTCACTAGGTAAACTAAACTCGTCCCGGTGTATTTTCAATGCCGCCAAAAGTATCCTTTTTGTAAAAATGACTTAAATTAACAAAAAAAAGTTTTTCTTAATTAAAATCAGGACTTTTTTCCGATAAATCCTCAAGTAAAGGTAATTTAACTTGTTTACAAATTTCGTAAGATTAATGATAACTTATCATTGTTTGCTTCTTGTAGTGTTATTCAATTGGGAAGATCCACTTAATTTAGAGTCACAATTAACTGATGATGAAAAAAGTGTGAGGGATTCTTTTAGGGCTTATTGTCAGGAGAAATTACAGCCAAGGATAATTCAAGCGAATCGAAATGAAAGTAAATTAATTTAATTAAGTCACTTTTGGGTTTACACATGAATTTTAGCTTTTGAGCGCGAAATTATGGCCGAAATGGGTGCTATGGGTGTGCTCGGTTGTACGATAAAGGAATATGGTTGCGCGGGAATTTCAAATGTTGGTTACGGTCTCCTCACTCGAGAAGTCGAAAGGGTTGATAGTGCGTACAGATCAGCAGTCAGTGTCCAGTCATCACTTGTAATGGGGGCTATTTATTACTTTGGTTCAAAAGAACAAAAAGAAGAGTATTTGCCTAAACTCGGTTAGTTTTTTTTTTACTTTGGTACCCCTGAACTTGACACTTGTGACACATTACGTAAAAAACACTTTTTTTTACCTTGTTTACGTTTTTAATAACAGCGAAAGGAGAAATTATTGGTTGTTTTGGATTGACGGAACCCAACCATGGTAGTGACCCAAGTTCGATGGAAACGCGTGCGAAATTTAATTCATCCTCGAAAACGTACACTTTGAACGGTAGCAAAACCTGGTAAGGGGTGCCAACCCTTGATTGGTAAATTACTAAATCAAATTCTAGGATCACAAATGCGCCGCTTGCCGATGTTTTAATTATTTGGGGCAAAAATGACGATGGGAAAATCCGTGGTTTTCTAGTTGATCGGAAAAAGCACGGGAAGGGGTTAGACACCCCAAAAATCCAAGGGAAATTTTCCCTCCGCGCCTCCACCACTGGTATGATTCTAATGGATGGTGTGGAAATCCCCGAAAGTAACATTTTGCCAAACGTCGAGGGCCTCAAAGGGCCATTTTCGTGCTTGAATAACGCCCGGTATGGAATCGCCTGGGGGGCGTTAGGGGCTGCCGAGTCTTGTCTCACCATAGCCCGAAACTACACCATCGAAAGGAGACAATTCGGACGGCCCCTTGCTGCCAACCAACTCATCCAAAAGAAATTTGCCGATATGATTACCGAAATTGCTCTTGGGCTTCAAGGGTGTCTCCAAGTGGGGCGCTTAATGGATAAAAAATTGTACGTTTTTGTGTCTTAAGCCCGTTTTAATGATCGCATTACAGACATACGCCAGAAATGATTTCGCTCTTGAAGAGAAATAACGCGGGGAAAGCTCTCGAAATTGCAAGAGTCGCAAGAGACATGCTGGGGGGTAACGGAATTCACGATGAGTACCACATTATCCGACATCTAATGAATTTGGAGTCGGTCAACACGTACGAAGGTGCGATTTGAATATTTTAACAAGTTGGCTTCGCACAACTGTCAGTTGGCCGCAGCACGCTTGATTGACGATTTTTTTCAGGGACCCACGATATCCATGCATTGATTTTGGGCCGCACTGTAACAGGAATATCCGCATTTTGATTATTTTGTATCAAATGGATGAAATAAATCATTATTTTTGCTCCAGTGTTTTATTTGATTTGAATATTGTCATAACTGTCATTTGGCCGCAGCATGCTTGATTGTATTTGTATCAAATGAATAAAATAAATCATTCTTGATACGGTGTTTTATTTATTTACCTGACTCTCAACGGTACTTGTTACTCGGTGAAAGAATAGAAATTCTTCGCGGAGAAGGAGGTCGATGAAAGTGTTTACAATACAGAATTGGCATAAAAAAATGATAGAAAGGGGTTGAGAAAGTCGAAAAACGCATGCGTCGGTCGATACCCACATTTTAGCGCCGCAATGTTATCAGTTTTACTATAGTGCTTCATATTGTACTTGCGATTTGAAATAATTAGGTGTTTTTTAATGCTCGCAAATCCAGCCACAAACAAAAATGTTCACTAGTTTAGAAAAATTCGGTTTAGTGTGTATTTCCATTGTAGGGTTTCAAGTTTTCCGATTTTTATTTCGAACTCTCTACAATAATTTTTTGGCTGTCGCGTTGAAAATAAATGCAGTTGATGTTAAAGAAACAGGAAGTTGGGCAGGTAAGCATTTTTTTAAATTTTTGGTTGCCAGGCATAATTAATTACGTTTAGTTGGCGTTTCTTTGATAACAGTATCACCTAACACATTTTGTAACCCTGAAATGAAAATAATCGAGTCACCTACCGATTTATTCAACTCTATTGAAAATTTAAATGTCGGCGACACAATGGAAATTTGTTAATTATGCAAAAAATCCTATCGTAATCAACTCTGGCCCAATTACCTGCCAATTATTTTTTGCCAAAAAAAATTGTCAAATTTTTCGTTTTTCAAACTTTGTACCTCATCTGACTGATTCTACTCACATGTTTAATCGTATGATGGTTCAAATCTGCGAAAGATTGATAACACTAATCTTTTTTATTTACCTAATAATATCGACAAAATAAAAATAAACATTTTTCGTTTTTGACTAATAAAATATCGATTTTAACTCTTAAAATAAACTAGAATTGGATCAATTGAATCTTTTGAGTGCTTTTTGATATAGTGCGATCAGAAAGTTTTTCTATCAAGTAGGCGTCCTAGTTGAGGACGTATGTTGCATAACAGTTCGTATGTTATCTAGATGTCAAAAAAATATTTTATAAAAATTAAAACATTAAGCTAATTAAATTGAATTATTCTATGAAACGTCACAAAACAAACTAAAATAAGATTTTGTTGGTGTTTATTCATAAAAAACGTTCACAACGGTTTCCTGTCATAATTTACATAAAAATTATTTTGACATTTCTCATTTGTCATTGTGACATTTTATCTTCCACAGACATACGTTTTAAATTTCTACGCTTGCTTGATAGACAGACTTTTTGGTCGCACTGTATAAACAAATTGCTTGATATCAATTTTTACTCTTAAAATTGCAATTGAATGAACTGAATATTTGGACAGACAAGTTGACTTTTTTTGACTTTATCATTATCTTCTGTTTTTATCAATTTAGGCCACTCATTCAAATATCTGGGGTGGAAGTGTGTAAAGAAATATTTTTTGGACAAACAATTCAAAAATTCGTGTTTTCGAAATGGAACACTTGCAACGTGTGCCCTTTTGGTATATCATAGACTCTAGTTTTCACTATAATTCGTGCAATTTTAAAATAAATCCTATTAAAAAAAACTAAAAAACCGTAAACACAATTTTGTTTTTTTTTTCTAAGTTGTTTCCAACTCGAAAATAACAATTTCTTTTGCGAAATTTTAGCGTCCCGTAGGCTTCATTATTATCAATTAATGTAAATTTAATTAATCAGAAAAAATAATTATGGAGCCAATATTTCAACCAAATACTGATTTCAATAAGAGTTTTCCTCCAAAATAAAGTAATTTGAGCAATTTTCAATCTAATTTTGATCGATTTTAATATAGAATTAATTCAAAATTAATGTTTTTTATTAAAATAATTGCTTCAATTCTAATTTTAGGCTGAAATAAAGCAATTTGAGCTATTTTCAATTCAATTTTGATCGATTTTTATATAGAAATTTTTTGAAATTAATGTATTTTGTAAATATAATTGCTTCACTCATAATTTTAAGCTGAAATAAGGCAATTTGTGATATGTTCAATCGATTTGGCTCAATTTTAAGTTGGGAATCAACCTAAATCAAAGTATTTCAACCAAATACTGCCTTTAATCAGAGATTTCTTCTAAAATAAAGCAATTTGAGCAAATTCCATTCCAATTTTGCTCGATATTAATACAGAATTAATTCGAACTTAATGTATTTTATAAATACAATTGCTTCAATCTTAATTTTAGGCTAAAATAAAGCAATTTGAGCTATTTTCAGTACAATTTTGCTTGATTTTACTACAGAATTAATTCAAAATTAATGTTTTTTATTAAAATAATTGCTTCAATTCTAATTTTAGGCTGAAATAAAGCAATTTGAGCTATTTCCAATT